TAACGACGTGACTTTAATCGCCCGAACGAACGAATCAACACGATAAACTCGTCGCGCGCGACGGTTTCGTGGGGTGTTTTTCTTTTTTGTTTTTTAGTCGCGTCGCATCAATCGTATTGCGCTACTGGAGGAGCTGCCTAAATATTCCGACCAGATGTTAAAACGGTTAAAATAAATCGCGAGAAAAAAAGCGTTGTACACGTTCGCGGTTTTTTTTTTTTTTTTTGTTTGTTTGTTTCCCGGCCATCGTGTTTTCGCCTTGTTTGCGCCCAAACAAACGTCATTCGGACGGTCGTCGGCCGATCGAAATATTATCATAAATAATTCACAGCAGCCCGTCCGACCCCCGTCTCCATTGTAAACAGCCGTCCGAATCTTTCGCGAGTAAACGCAGTGGCGGCGAGCAGCACGGAGGACGCGATAATATTTTTGAAGTGGTCGGGGATTATCATAATCTCTTTGGTTTCGCCGCAGCCGCCGTTGCGCTATTGTGCGAGACGAGACTAATGTACTATAACGAATAGTACTTAAAAAACAAAAATACATAATAATAATAATAATAATAATATTATAATTCGTGCCGTACACTACTAAAAACGTTACTGTATACAACGTTATACTGTACAATGGACCGCTAGCATTATTGTTACGATTATTATTCCTTTTAAACTTTTACGTCCGCGCGGTATTCTGTATATATATATACACCGGGAACAATATTATCACTATTCGAGAGAGATGTAATTTTTCTATTAAAAAAAAAAATTTAAAAAAATTATGATAATATTATGTGTATATGTATACGAATGAAAATTCGATACTGCTCACGGGCATCATGTAAAAGGAGACTTATAAGCGAGGTCTATTATAGTGCAGTTCGGTCAGTAAGTTCGAAGACCGCTTGATCGAGTTCAATCTTGACCGGTTTCAGCAGAATTTTTCCAATTTCGGTTATTTCGGTTTTGACCGAATCATTCGATTTTGGTTTCAACCGATTTCGATTAGTTTGGTTAGAACGAAATCGATTACATTTTTAATAGTTTCCGTTTGGGAAGAGAGTGTAAAATTTTTAATTGAGTAAAATTTATTTGAATTTGATTAAGACCGAATCAAGTCAATTGAGTCAAATTAAGGCAAAGTTAGTGAAACTAGTTTAACCGTTTTGTTTGATTTAACCGAAATTACCGGATTCGACCAAGACGAGGAAACCAATGGCGGTCAAACCGGTCAAAACCTGTTCGGTTAACCGGTTAAATAAAAAAAAACCGGTATAACCGAACAGCACTAGTCTATACGGCGGTCTTTATACTGGACCTAACAGATCAATAATCGACGGTTCCGGCTTTTTAATCGTTTGGAATTCGATAACCTAGAGATGAGGAACTACGTCTTATTAGTGGACAACGACAAATCGGTACAAAGGTAGTCCAGAAACAATCGAACAACTCGCTCGTATACATTACCATCTTTTTTTTTCTTGTAGCGTTTATAGCTCATTCGGCCACCTTCACTGCTTCGACTATTTCCCGCCGTCTTTCCTTATTCTCACTCAACTCCAGATCTGTACTTTGCGTAACCTTTTCAAGGTCTACTTTCAATATATGTCCGTCCATATTTCTTTAAGATGGCCTCTGGATTATTTACCGTTGATTTTAACTATCATTACATATTTTAAGATTGGTACCACTAACTCTTCACATGTGGCCTGTCCATTCTATACGTTTGCTTCTGATTAATCACTTTTAATGCGTGGTTTTTGAAATAGCTGATAGATTGCCTTGTTCGTTCTCGTTTGGTATTCTCAATTTTCAACAGTTGGACTGCAAATGCAACGGAGTATCGTCGTATATGGTCAGCGAAAGTAAAATACTGATTAATATTATGACTAGGAAACGGATTTATATGCACTTAAAGTTCACAAAAAAAAATTTAAAAAAATATTTGAAAAAGTAAAAGTGGCAGAAGAGTTTAAGGGTCCCTACCATCTCACCCCTTTAACTTAGTACAAAATTAATTTTCTAAAACTACAAAAATAATAAACAGAACAATTTATTTTTAAATAAAATGTCACTTAACTATTATAAAAAATTATAAAATAAAAATACTTTGTGTTAAACGTATTATTTTTTTTTCTTTTGTGTTTGACAATTTTATTTAACAGAGTAAAAACTGTAATAGAGGAGGGGGATTTTCAAACCCCTCCATCACTTATGGTTTTTTCTAATATTTTCAAGTGATATTTTCCGGGCATTTTCGTCGATTTCACCCGCTTTATTACGGATTTCGGGTGCATACCAATCCGTGCTTTAATTATAACTAACGACAACAAACGATTATATCATTAGAGATACCCGAAAACGATAATAATATTCGAATACGAGTTAATATTAAATTACGGGTAAAATATCGCTAGGAGAAGTTTGACTTTACCCGTTAACCGCAGTAAGTATACATATATAATAGTGTAGTAGTTTGAACCGATGCCGACGTCGACTACGCGGTCATCGTCGAATAGAAATTTATATTCGGGTCGTCGGAATTTAGTATGAATTATTCATCGCGGATCTATTGTTATTATTATTATTATTATTATCATCGAAACTGCATCACTCGATAAAATATACTGCAGTTAAGCCGCGGCGGACATTCGCGGTCGCGGTTTAGGTATCCAAAGCGATTCTCCGCTGTAAACGATCGGTCCGTATATAACCTATACCTATATTGTCTGTACCTGTAAGTCCCGGGAAATCGGCTCCGGGGAGTTTTGACGATTTTTTTTACAATCGAACGTTTCGCGCGCGAGTATACACGAGTGTCATACGTACACCCGTACGGGTACTCTCTCAGGCCATTTTATCAAATCGAATTTTTATACAAGCCGTAAAAATAAAACGATTTTTTTTCCCGCACCCCCTCCCCGTTCCTTTCCGTTTAGGAGGGGTGTTGGAGAGGAACAAGCAAACTATTTAAATTTAAAAACCTAATGAGATGACGGGGCGCGCGTGCGAGCTGCTCACGAGGAGACCTCGATAAGGACGGATATTTATATATATATATATACGAAATGTATTCCGACTGCGTCCGTATTACACGAGTGTTCGACAGACGAGAGAAAATATTATGGTGTTCGATAAAATTGCCGAGGAAATCGGCGCCGACGAAGTGCCATACAGTCGACCGAGACGAGATTGGAGCTGATGTTTTCGCAGTAGATTTCGAACGTTTGGTTTTTATCGACACGCCGTCCTAAGTGGATATCGTTTTGAAACTCGTCGGGAAATTTAAGAGGTTACGACTAAAATCGTTTTTATTTCGCGGATCTAATAATGCGAACAGCGCACTACGAGCGCATCAGCTTTATTATTACTAACCGAATCGGTAACTTTAGTTTTAGATTCTGAACGAGGAATATATATTAAATGATTTTACTACGAGCATGTGTGTGTATTTGGGTGTTTTTTTTTTTATCTTTTTTCGTCGGTCTATCGACAACTTTTCTACCAGAAATCTCGGTACCGCTATAAAGTCAGGAAACGATTGACGGTATAAAATGTTTTCTAGTCGGTGCGTGAGGGGATGTGATATTTTATTTTCATTCTCCTTGTGGTTTTCTTCACAATTAGAGAAAACAATCCGGAAACTGTCGTTCACTGCCGTGAAATTTTCGCCGAGTATCACTTTTTCTAAACACGGCACGGTTTTAAAAACATTCTGGCGATTGTTGTGCTATTTATAATCGTTTAAAATCGTTTAGGTTTTAATCTTCTTTTTTTTTATTCGATTTCATGCGGGTACAATTATTTATCGGTTCAGAGAAAACACTAGAAAATGTAACACGAGGTTCGCCGTGATATGTAATCAATAGTTTTTATTTAATTTTTTTTTCTCTTGTTCAGCGATTCGAATTCGATATGTTTCGTTCTATCGATATTTTTCAAATCTCACATTTCCGGTTATGGTTTTTCTAAACACTCGAGACAACCGCCGGGGAAAATGTATCCCATTAAAATACAATCGCGACGTTTTATTAAATTGCATAAGTCCGGGCAAATCGCCGCTGTACGATTTGCCGTTATTAAATCAATCGCCGACAAAAACGAGATGGTAAATCTTCTTTTGCTGTAAGTCTATATTACGTTAAGTGTAGATTTTTTTATACAATAAATATTATATTCGTTTCGCAAATTAAATGATGCGAGGTTAAACAACCGCACTGAACAAAGTAAAAAAAAACCCGATATCTAAACCGCGGGCGTTTGATATCCGCGTTTATTATCATAATCGTCTGAAAAGTTTATAAAGAATGAAAAATAAAATGTATTTTTTTTTTTTTTATTTTTGCGAGGCGCATTGGTTGATCCGAGAGACGACCCGGAGCAGAAAATATTTTATAATATATTGTATAAAAGAGTTTTGGGAAAAATAAAACGATAAATAAAACATAAACACTTGCCTTGTTTTCTTTATAAAACTTGAACCTCTCGCACGGTAGGTGCCGGTGTGCGGTAACCGTCAGCGGTGCCGTGTCGAAAAAATGTGACGACAAAAAAAAAAAAAAATACCACACACACACGCGCACGCGCGTATACACATACAATATTAATAAATATTATTTATAGACCGCAATAAACACTGCCGCAGAGCAAAACACCGCAGTTACAAATAACGGAATAAGGGACGGAAAACTCTACACGGTCGTATATAATGTGTGTACGACACGTAAACATAGAGCACGAGACGAATTATGCCCCGCTACCCTGTTAGCGTTGTCGGGATTTATTCGGCCTGCATCGGAGACCGCGGCTAAAAACAACTATAGACACGACCGCGGGCCGTGATTTTATCAGTTACGTATTCGGTTTATTACGTTTTTACGGCCGGCCGGAAAACCCGGCGGCGCGTATTCCCACTGCCCACTGCCCGCTGCCCTGACCGTGTTGGGACGCGGGTGCCCGCGTCCGGCCAGGGTCCGTGTTGCCTGGTCCGCAGTGCACCGTACCCTGTGCCCCGGCCGAACCCGCGGGCAAATTATCGTACACGGTAAAAATCGGACGCGTAACGGTTCGATATTTCCTACGGATATCTTCTGCTTCGCCACTGTTGTTTATTGAACGCGATCCATTTTTTAAAACGAAATAAATTGTAAAATGTGGTTTTTTTTTCTTTATACGCTATATAAAAACATAATTAGTCGGAGTCGCGAAAATTGAGTGCCGGTGGCAGCGTTTCCGGTGACCATCCCATCAGACGGCTACGAATATACGTTTCTTCTACAATGTGCGCGAAGAATTAATATTACGGGCGCGAGACGTCCAGTGCTTAGAAGTTAGGTTAGGTTAGGTTGTAAGTGTGGCTGTAAAAAACGATACTTCAACGCCGAGTATTGGCCCAATATCGGTATTTGAACTGCGCCATAATCCTACTGTTGATATTGATTACAATTTATTGGAAATAAACAATTAATTCAGTTTATTGTAAAGAACCGATTGTTTTCAATAAAATATAGGTTAGGTTAACGGGTGGTGTTTACAGGTATTTGTAGAATACATAGAACCGGTGTGTTTTTGATTTATATTTGCCGTAATAATTCGCCCCAAAACGGTTAGGGTACGGAGTACAGACGAGGCACCACGGACCCTAACTAAATACACTCGTGCTAAAACTCAGTTGAGGTTCGGATATACGCTCCGGTGATTAAATTCACTGACTTGTGAATTTTCTTCCCGTGGAATATTTACATTGATGTGTATAAAATGCGCAGTCAACAATAGATTTGAAAATGCTGTGATGGCCATCATGTCCAATTGTTTAACCATGGATAAATGACCACCCAGTCTCACAAAAAATTTTCTAACTATATTTATTCATCGCCGATATTTGGTTCTGAAACTTCCCGCTTTTGTTTTTACACTTTTTCTAACCGCATGCTCTGCTCTCCCAAATGCCTTTCCCCTATATTGGATTCTGGTCCAGCACTGCCTGTATATACCGTATAGTGGATTTGAGCTTATCCGAGCATACCTATATATATGTATGTATATACCTGTACAGCCAATCGTGGTCTTTACATTTTTTATTTTTTTTTTTTATGATCTTAAAAACATTATTTTCTCCAAATATTAACCACTGTAGCGCTGTCTATTTTTCCTTTGTCTCCAATCCCCGCACGTGGTTACGTTATCCTTTACTGATCCCGCAGTATATTCGGCAATATTTTCTCTTTCGAACACCATCAAAAATGTTTTTCGTTCATTTTCCTCTGCAACGATTCAGTTTCATATCCGTGCAATAGTACCGTCGTATTATTATAGTACGTAGGTAGGTAACTTTTTTTTTTTCATTTCTCGTGAAAACCGTCAACCGATCTTGTCCGAGGTAGTTATTTTGAAAAGCATTTTTAGAGATTTTTCGTTGGTTTTGTTTTTTTTTTTTTTGTTTTTTCACTTTATAAAATCCGTACTCGAAATGATATATGAGCGTGAACGTGACGCATCTATAAGTATCGAACGAATATCCGCGATTAAATCGAACGAAATGGTAATACGATGGCTCGGAAGGTTATTGATTATTCAGGTGTTAATTAAATACAAATTCCTAGAATAACTTTTGAAGCGCTAACTGCAACGGAACAGAAATGAACCAACGATGTCGTTCAATAAACGACTTACTTTATTATTATTATTTCGAAACTGCAAAGCTTTGGAGAACGCACACTACGCATATTATAATAGTAGACAGGTAGGTAGGTGGAATACATACCTCGTATACTTATTGATCTTTGTAGAGAAAATGACTCCTCCATCAGCGTCAATAAATTAAGAAAGTTTTCGGTGCGTATACCTCCTATACATAGGACTTTTTAGCTTTTTAATACGTTCAACTTTTTAATAGAATATATATTCGTCGGGTCCTACTGCTGCGGAGACTTCCACACGACGCCTCTTATTATAATAATATTATACTGCTGCACGAACGACAACCCCGACGGAGTTCCGTTCAATATACATAATATTATTTTAATTCCGTTAAAGGGTTTTCGCGGGAATAAAATTGAAATAATTGTATTCACTGTGAAATTATTTATCGTTTCTTCCTCTACCTACGCTGCAGTCGTATAACGCTTTAAAATGATGATCCTAACCGGTAGCGCATTTAGAGGTGGGCGGGGATCGTGCGTGTTAAACCACTCCTAATTTTGATGAATGTGTAGGGGAGAAGCACACCGTGCGTTTATAATCAGTCTATGATAAATTCAAGGAAAAATATTGTCGGGTAAAAAAAAAAGTCTTAAATACGCCTATGTATACGTTAGGTTAGATTATAGGGTAGCAAAACACAGTCGTAAAAAATTTTAAAAGATGATACCACCCCTCCCCCCCAAATGTTTTAAAAAACATAATACGCATTATAGCATATTACATTATAGTATAAGACAATATTTTTATCTCGTGTTTAGAGAGGATAACGTGCCTACATCGAACTCAAAAATAAGAATATTTTCCGTGTCGTATCGCCGTTTTTTTTTTTTTTTATCGTTATTTAAATTTGTAAGCGAGATATAAACCATTTTCAAACCGTCATATTTCACACGCTCGGGCGAAAATTTGTTATCCTACGTACGACGTCTTCTTATTAATTATTTTTTATTTATATATATATATATGTATATTTTTTTTTTACCGACTAGTGTCCTAAACATAGCATGATATAAATTTATTATGGTACAAGGTACAGTTTACATTAGTATACAATACTTAAATGTAACTTTTTTTTTTTTTTTTTTTTTTCATAAATTAAAAAGTAAAGAAAAGAAAATACAGAGCAAAAATATTAAAAAATAATAATCATAATAAAATCTTATCTAATAGATTATAGACAGTATATAATATAAAATTATAAGAAGTTACATTAAAACAGTATTAAACATAATCAAATCTAAAGGTACTACCTGAACTAAACCTGTTCAAATGTCAGCGGGGTAATTTAAAATATATTTTTTCGTTAGAGAAAATCGTATAAAAAGGCAAGGAGCGTATTAGTATTAACATTATTCAATCCGAAACGAATTAATGATAATAATTTTGAACAATCAATAATACCATACAACAAATTTGTATACAGATTTCAAGAGCAGATACAAGCGGCGGTCGTTAAGTGGAGTTCGGTGTTAAAACGTTATCGTGTGACCTACGGGTCCGTGGATATTGAATTTGAACGAAACAAACCGTGAACAATTATTTCCAACCGATATAGGATGTTATTTCGTTTACGTGTATTATTTATCCGAATGGTAGGACGGTATTTGTTTTCAATTAACAGTATTCTTATAGTGATATAGGTATCCGGACTTCGCGAGCGGGATTATAATGTCCGAAAAAAATCCCGTTTATAATTTGGTAAATTCGTAGAAAAAACCATCGGTGTAGGATTCGTGACCGGACGAGCGTTGCGCAGCGACCTTTGGAAAAAAAAAACGAAAAGTGCATCGGAATCCCGGCCCTATCGATAACACGTTCTTCAGACTACTGTCTATTCGTATAATTCGTTCGTCGCGTTTTCGTCATTGTTCGCGAGTACGAAATATGATTTTTTTTCAATTTTTTTTTTTTTTTTTCCTCAGCGAGCTTACGACGACGTTAAACGGATACACACGGGCCCGACAATTTTATACCTCGAAACAAAAACGATATGGCTACATAAATATACACGCGTGTACATAACAAGTGCAATAATAATACAAAACCAATGCCGCGACTCGCGCAGTAACTCTACGGGATCTTCCGGAGCGCGCGGTTCGTCATACGGGCCCGCGCATCGGAACACAAGAGCACTGTAACGACGTTATTGGTTTTAATTAAAATTTATCGAAGTGCACGTGCTTATTAGTGTACACCCGCTACGGAATATCGGAAGGGGAACACGAGCGTTTCAAGAAAGGAAAACAATACTCGGGCTTATGATAATTCCATTTGTCGTAGAACGGATTATGTTGTTTAAATAAAAGGTTTCGTTATTCGGTTTGCCTCTCGAAAAAATCCGTTTCCGCGTATGCATTGTAAATTGGTATTTTCGTTAGACTAATGTGCATTTAAGATTTTGAGCGGTTTTTTTTTTTCTTCCGCGGAGCTGTGAACAACTCCTCTACCGGATATTTGCTTTCGATTTTCAAGTGTGCCTAACGACTTTCCTGAAAACAAATGGAATTCAGTTGGTGCATTGGAACCGGCCGTCTTTGATTTCACTCCTAGTTTTCCTAATGACTAGGAACACCCGGAAAAAACCTATTGAACACAGGGATGTTTACGATAATACCGATTTCATTATTTTCGATTTTTTTTTTTTTTTTTCGTTTGCAGTGCTTTGGCTAGAGACAACAATATAGACCTGAAATGATTACGCACTGCTTGTATTAGATTTTTCTAGGCACGGTAACATTTTTAAAAATACAATTTTTTTAAAAACTATTTATTATACTAGGCATTTGGTATTTTCTACTTTTTATTAAATTAAAAAAAAAAAAAAAAAAATATGTGGATATAATTGTGTTGTCTGAATAGAAATGCTTGAAAATATAACACGAGTTTCATTATTTAATTATACTTAGTAGTATAAAATACAAAGTTATATTATAATGTTTCTAGTAGATTTTTTTTTTGATTTTATTAGCTAGTTTAGTAGTAAATTCACGCCATTTCAAAACATAAATAACCGAACTTCGATCAGAATTTGTTTCTATTAGCCATGGTTTTCGTTGTGTACAAATATAAACTTAATAACTTTACGTATTTTACTTTCCCAAAATCTCACATACAACAATGGCACAGTATGGATAAAATGGTTTTGACAGAGTAAACATGTTAGTATATGATTCGCCAACTCCGAATAACGCTAACGTCCGAAATTTCCAAATTCCTTCAAATGATATTAGTGCCATGCTTGCACGGTAAGATTGCAGAAACCGCGTTGTCCTAGAGTCATTTTTTTTCAAATAACGACATCCATAAATATATCCAACACTCATGTTGTATAAAACGTTAACAAAGAAAAATGTTTTTCGGCTTTAAGTATAATATTACCTGTACCATTAAACGTCGTATACGAATTTATATAGTCGAGGCCTATTAGGAGATGATCATTTACTCGGTCGCCCTATTATTAATACAACAGCCCTTATAATATAACGGTTACGAGCATTTATGTATACTGAAATGTCTCGAAGTATTTACTCTGTTGTTTTTTTTTTCTTCGAGATTAGCAAATACTATAAATTTAATAGTATTCGTGATAAAAAAAAAAAAAGTCAATTATATCGTACGCAATAAACATAAAAAATGGATTATTTTCGCCGTTAACAAAGAAAGAATAAATACGAAAAAGATAGATGCAGACA